CCCAAAAAAAGGAGTTGAGGGAATTTATTTTTGGGGACAACGAGAGCGGAAAAATATGAAAAAAAAAAAAAAAAAAAATATATATATATATATATATATATATATATATATATATATATATATATATATATATATATATATAAAACAACAGTTTTTTTTTCTTATGAACAATCACAAATGTTTTGGTGAGAATTTGTTTTAATTATTCCCTTATGTATCTGAGACAAACACTGCTTCGTCTGCTTAACACCAGCAGGAAATACAAGTGACAATGGAGACATTTCACTTCTTTTTTTTTCTTTTTCTGGTTACCTTTGTCCTTTCTTCTGTCAATACTACACTTTTATCTTATGATGAAACAGGTGAATGTTGAGAGGAAATAGTAAACAATGTCAGACTAAAAAAAAAGAAGGATATCCTTCTACTGTCACAGGCATATCAACTTTCTTTTGGAAATGTGTTGTCTGGATGACAAGATTTTTTTTTGTGTGTTTGTTTGTTGGTTTTTCAGCCTTATTCTCAGTTTTGTCAGTTCTTTTTTATCTTGATGTCTTCATAGTTAGCATGACCTCTGTCATTGTAAGGTTAGTTTTTTTTTTCTACATACGTAATGTAAGAAACAAAAAAAAAAGAAGAGAAAAAAAAATAGTGCAAAACACTTCTATCATTAGATCTAACTCTATCATTGGAGTTGCCTGACTCACTGGGAAGAGTAGTTGTTCGCAATCCGAAAGTTGTGGGTTAGTGTCTCTATCCCTGGTCGGGCACTAAAACATTCTTTCTTAGTTCTTTAAAATTGTCAGTGATGAAACGAAATCAAAGTTAGGATGCATACAGGCTCTGAAAGAATAATTTATAACTAACATGAACTAACACTAGCAAAGAACTGTCTCCTTAACAGATTACTCTGACGGGAGAGGAGGAAAACTATGTGTGAGATTCGTATTACGAGATTTTTTTTTTCTTCTTTAACCTTGATTTTCTTTTTTTTTTCGTCTAACTTTTCTAATCACATGGTTTTTCATTCATACTCTACGCCTGGCACATTTGTTACTCTAAAACCACACTTAGATGAGAACAACAGGGCTTTGACATAGGCTTCCGTTTTCTGCTCAAGGATACCTACTGGGTACCAAACCACTGATCGACAAAATGATAACTCTTTCCACCAGGGAACGACTGCCTCCCCCTCCAAAAAAAAAAAAAAAATGTTTGACTAGTCTGTGTTGTAGCGTTTTTTTTTTTTTTTCTTTTGTGTAGAACAGATAAAAGTGGATATGAGAGAAACTCACAGTGACTGAGAGAAGAGAAAGAGGCAGTGAAAAAGATGAGATTTGCGATCTCATCTGTTCACCCAAGGGCCTCTCTCCAGAACAGCTTCTCACTGTCGTCAATCATCTCCATGGAGACACCTTAAAACTGACATGATTGAAGGCGCATTGGATGCATCCTAGAAATGCCTGTTGTACACACTGAGAGACAAAAAGACTGCTAACCTGATGGTGGATCTGACCTCAAGACAGAAGGTGTGTATAATAATTTAACTTGATATTAATGAGAGGAAAAATACTGAATAAAGCCTTTTCTCTGCTGTTCTTATTTTAACATACACTCCCAATACAGGAAAAAAAAATCAACTGCATGATGAAATGAATTAAG